TTACAATATGTTACAGCAAGTCTCAATGTATTGTATGGCGGTTGAGTTCTTTGTTAAAATAGGCTAAGTGGTCAGTTGGCTTGTTGTCACAGTTAATCACTAGACTAACAGATACAATTTAGGCATATGTTTACACATTTTTTAGATAGTGACTCCCTACGGTTTAAACTTTAATAGATTAATAATCATTTTATTATTGTTGATTTTGCAATCCTTTCAAGACCCAGCCGGCCATTTGTATGCAGTAATACTTATGATAATTAGTGTGACATTACGGATAGCCATAGGTTTAGTATTAGGGTTAGTTTGGGTTTGGGTTGATGCTGTTTTAGGGTTAAGGGTAGTATAAGGTTAAAGGAGCACTATAGTGCCAGGAAAACAAACTTGTTTTCCTGGCACTATAGGGTCATTAGGTCCCCCCCCACCCTCAGGGCCCCCCTCCCGCTGAGCTGGATTGGTTAAAACCCCTTCAGCCACTTACCTTTCTCCAGCACCGGGCTCCTTCTGTGCTGGGGAACTCTCCACACCCTGCCGACGTCTGATCTGAATGCGCATGCGCGGCAATGCTCAATGCTTTCCTATGGACGTCCAGCGTCTTCGCACTGTGATTTTCATAGTGAGAATTGCGGAAGCGCCTCTAGCGGCTGTCAGGGAGACAGCCACTAGAGGATGGATTAACCCTCAGTGAAACATAGCAGTTTCTCTGAAACTGCTATGCTTTCAGCTCCATGGTTAAAACTAGAGGGACCTGGCACCCAGACCACTTCATTGAGCTGAAGTGGTCTGGGTGTCTATAGTGGGTCCTTTAAGAATAAGGCTAGGTTAGGCAAATGGTTAGTGTAAGCATAGCGCAAGGGGTACGGTTGGTACGGCGTTGGGGAGGTGGCAGGGGGGTTGGTATAGGATTAGTGTTAACTACTAAAAATGTATTTAGATCCTAGACATATTAGGCATGTAACACTCAGGACTAATATGTGAATCTATTTTTAGTTCTTTTTATTTAGTTTCCTTGGTTGTGTAAAAATTATTATAAATAAAAAAGTATTTTCCCCCATCTTTAACATTTTATTTACACATAATGTGCTGCATTGCTAAGGATATGTAAGCCGTATATTCAGAGGCATAATTATTTTTTTTATCAATCAGAAATAAGATATCTGCCATCCATAGACTTCTAGAACTGCTTCCACGAATGGACCTGGAGATACAAATATTGTAACAATAAAACAAAACTGGATAGAACGATGTAAGAATCAATAACAGGTCCTACCAGGAAACTGGGACGTCAAGAAGAGTGAGGAAAAAGATCATGAAACCAACCAAGGCCATCAAATGAGCTAAGTAACAATATCACACGAAACGAAACGCAACTAGGACTCTAAACATATAACATATTACTTTTGTGTTTATTCAGTAAACCTGGGATTTTACACAGGTAAATTGCACATTTTAGGCAAAAAACACCAATCTTTGATATTCTCCAATTTATAATTTCAGATATTTTGGCAAAACGTTACTCTGAAGTTCTGTAATTCCTTCATATAAACCAAACATTCTGAGCTCTTAGGAAAATGGAATACTATGATCAGAAAAAGAATAATGAATTAAAGTACATAGAGTCATGGAAATAGGTACCCCATAACTCGAAGCCCCCTTTAATTAACCCCACTACATTAAGCTGTCTAAACCTAAGCCTCCCTAACCATAAGTCCCTAACATTAGCATAAAACCTTGAGGAATTATTAACAGTGCTGTAATGAAATTCTGCCTTTTTAGCATCATTTCAATGTTGATGAAAGAACTGACATTTAAAACACCGTTTTGCCTGTGACATTTAATATGCATTGAACATAATATGACTATAAACTTCAAGTTCCTGCTTTTGCAAATCAACCAAGGATCACAGAATTTCACACATGTAGAGGTGGCTGGGATTGCCAGCAGATTGATTTCTCTGGGAGAAAAAGCCCAAAACAGCCCAATAAGACTGTTGGAAGAGTGGGACATGGAACGGATGAGTGGAATTTGGAAATCTTGGTTCATTGAAAGTCTCTACTCCTCAACACAGGGATCTGTTCAGTGGGCCAATTATTATTGTTAGGTACCTAAAACCTAGTTTAGCTAAGCTCACAATAATGCTGAGGTGATTTCCAGTTAAAATAAATTAGATCTTTGCCTGGCAGTTGAACTCTGAAATCCTTGCTAACTTCGACTGCTTGCAAATATCATTCAAATTTCCAACATACTTGGCAGTGTCCCAAGAGTTCAATAACCTTTCCAGGGTCAGCTGTTGAAACCTGGTTGGATCTCGGTTCCTCTTAGTAAATATTAGACTAGTGCATTCAGTTCCAAACAAAACACAATTCATCTGAATTTTGGCGCTTACTGAGCTGTTCAAAACTCTGAACCACCATATGAACAAATCACGAAACAAACTAAATGAGGAATGAACTATGAAGGGGAAATTTTTTTAAAAAGAAGTGTAGCACCAACAACGTTTTTTCCCTTCCTTGGCTGTCCGTACACCCCCCTGTAACAGTACTGTGTTTTTCCCATATATTTTGTGTGATTCCCCTTTGTCCATTCGGAAGACTTCTTGCGAATGGAATACGTTAGTCTCCCGAACCAGGCCCACCCCTGTGCCCCATTAGAACGTTGTCACTTAACACTTAAGTGTGAAACCGCAAAGGAAACATTCAGTGAGCGCTTCCCCCTGTGTGGCTGCTGTTTGTATAACCGAACACGTGGCACAGAGGATGGCCGCCATCTTGTCTCCCGAATGAGGGCAGCGGTTCTTGGTCCCCTTGTATGGTTTTCGCATAGGAACTTCACGAACAGAGACCGGCCAGGGCACCTATTCTCCTGGAACTATTTTGGGATACTACCTCGTGTCTGTCCGGTCAAATCTTCCACACAATGCCGTTCCCGTTCTACCGAACCAATTTGAGTGATTCTTGGATATGTTGGTCACTCAGATCGAGGCTATCAAGGGATGTACTTTTTGTGGGGTTCCTGTGTATGGTTGGGGGACTTTTGGGGTGCAGGATATTTTTGTGATTTTGTTTTGCCTGAGAGATAATTAAATTGGAGGAGTTTACTCAGGCAATTATCTCTCAGGCACAAGGGATCCTGGGATTGAAACCATTGCATTTTCTGCCTGTGAGACGGCATAAAAGCTATGTATTTGTGAATAAAATTCAGAAATACCCCTAGAGCTGAGTGTCATCCAGTTGCTGGGGATGAGGTGGGAGATTACTTGGACTACTTTGCTGTGCCTGACTGTTCCATTGAATTATTTTGCTGTGCCTGAGTATACTTCGGAGTAACCAGCGTAGGAGAGTTCTGATAGGACTAGGGCTCCGCTACAAGAAGATTAATGGTTTGGAGCAACCACTAAATGTTGATTTTATTCACAAATGACCAATAGAAAGACAAAAAAGTAGGAGCACTAGAAAAAAATAAATCTATATTCATAGATATATAAACATATAAATATGGATTTTACAATGCTTTTCCTCTTTTTACCCTCTAATAGTTATTTATTTTCACTTGATCTGTGTACCAAATGGTGCAAAATATGTATTGCAAAATATATAGATTATATTTTCATTATCTATATGTTTTACACATTTAAAACCATGTTGGTTCATATGAATGATTTTCCTAAAACAATTGTAGTACGGTAGTTTCAGCTCTTCTTCAGTAGGAAACTACCTAGAAACACATCAAGCTAGAAGGTTTTTACCTTTCTAAAGCTTTTTTTATGTTCAAATAGCATATTTTACAAAACATGACTCCTTTTGGGGCACATGACAGAAAATGTCCATCTTCTGGCCTTTTACTTCTGAAGCTTTGTCCTTAAGGGGTTACTTCAAAACTGGAATTTTTGTGTCTGCTTATCTTCCAGAAACTATTTTGTATCTTTTAGCCTTATCTAGGCAGTATGTGCATTTTCTTATTTAGGTTTCTTTTAAAATTACATATTCTTATGTTTCTCTCTATTTATTTCTTTCTCCTGTAACTTACCCTTAGGCTTCTAGCATTCGATATAACTGACTAGTGTAATCTGAGTTGGACCTTTCAATGTAACTGTTGCGTTCTGTCATAAACCATTATATATGTTATATACACTAACATTTGCTTGGGTGGTTCCTTCTCCTGTAAGACCATGCCACAACTCAAAACAACCATGTTCTTTTTGTTTTGTCTCTTAGGCAATGAGGGAAAGGTAAACGGTTTAATAAACCTTAATGAAGCAAAATTGTATAAATTTGGAAGCAATTTGGAAGACACATTGTATACAGCAGCAGGGAGGACTCAATTGCAAGAAGGAGTCAGTGAAGATTAAAGCTTCCCCTTGCAGGGATGCTTCTAGTGCTACCTGCAACGGAGGCACTGACGTCAGGCGCCCAGTGCGTGCTGATGACATGTGTATTTATTTTGCACAGAATTCACATTAGGCAGACGGCAGCATTAGGATGCCAAGTCCTGTGTGCCAAAAGTGTAGCTCGACCTTATGTCTTTGTGTGTGCAACATTTCAAGCAGATACACATCATTTACAGGCAGCTACCACCATTATCACTAGTAAAAGCAAAAGTGGTCATGGTGGTTGGAGTAACTGTTTATAGATTTAGCATGACAACATAATCATCTTCAGATAAAACAAAGGCAGTACAAACATTGTAAATGAAGAAGAGAAATAGAAGCATTGTTTTGTCTGAGAAACCTTTACTGTAGTTGTATTACTTAACAGTACTTTGCTGTACCTCAGTCCATGCCTCTGTAAACATGGTCATTGATTTGCTTTACTTGGACAATAGACAATACCTGTACCTTTTTTGATTTCATTCTATGACTTTAATTTTTTTTTTTTAACTTAAGTTATATGTGCTTTAGTATATCCATTTGTCTACAGATTTCACAGTGGAATGTAGTTAATGTTAGGTTTAGTCTTAAAGGAACACTATAGTCATCTAAATTACTTTAGCTAAATAAAGCAGTTTTAGTGTATAGATCATTCCCCTGCAATGTCACTGCTCAATTCACTGTCATTTAGGAGTTAAATCACTTTGTTTCTGTTTATGCAGCCATAGCCACACCTCCCCTGGCTATGACTGACAGAGCCTGCATGAAAAAAAACAAAACTGGTTTCACTTTCAAACAGATGTAATTTACCTTAAATAATTGTATCTCAATCTCTAAATTGAACTTTAATCACATACAGGGGGCTCTTGCAGGGTCTAGCAAGCTATTAACATAGCAGGGGATAAGAAAATCTTAATTAAACTGAACTTGCAACAAAGAAAGCCTAAATAGGGCTCTCTTTACAGGAAGTGTTTATGGAAGGCTGTGCAAGTCACATGCAGGGAGGTGTGACTAGGGTTCATAAACAAAGGGATTTTAAAGCCACACTAGAGTTACCGGAGCAACTACAGCTTATTGTACATCATTCCCTTCAGGATTTTTGCAGTAAACACTGTCTTTTCAGAGAACATTAGAGCCTAGGGATACCTCCACTTGTCACTCCTCAGATGACTACTATAGGTGCTTCCTGGGACAGTGCTGCACAGTGTGCAGCACTGACATTCAGTGTCTCCACCATCTGATGGAGACACTGAACTTTCTTCATAGGGATGGATTGATTCAATGCACTGATTGGCTCTGTGTTTGCTCTGTCCCTGGTCTGCCTCTTGACAGTCTCAATGAATCCAATGAATAACACTAAAGGGCCAGGAATATATTTGTGTTTCTGGCCCCATAGTATTCCTTTCAGGTCAAAAAGCCAAATTGAAAACAGAAGTGACTTGGACACTTCTTTTCTAATTCAGCTCTTTTGGAAATTCACATTGAACTCACTTTGAATTCCTGGCAATTCGCACTTAACAGTAATATTCACTAATGAATGCATGCAGTCTTAATCAGCAAATTGTGACCAAATGGAATTGCGACCAAATGTGCAATTCTCATATTTTCTGACAGCTAAACTTGTTTAATTTTGGTTATTTCTACCAAATGAGCACATCTTATTGGGTGCCATCTGGTGTCTGTTCTCATATTATTAAATGCCATATTTCAACCTGATTCAGTCTGAGCAAAACTGGAGGAAGGAAATGTTGCAATATTCTTCCACTGACATTGGGCAAATGGTTACAATAGTAATACATGAATATGAATGCAATAAAAAATATTACAAAATAATATTGCATAAATGTAATAAAAAAGTACATAATTTTTAGTTTAATGAGGTATACCGGATCCCTCTATGCAGTTTGCTCTTTACCCCATGGTATTAGCTAACAAAATAGTGCTATTTCCTATTAGAACTAGCAGCTGCCTTCTACAATTCATTGTGCCAAATAATCAGGATGACAACTGCCAATTCTGTCTCATTATCACTGCATTTAAGCATGTGATTGTGTATTCCATCGCCATTAGTTACAGATTTCTACCATCCGGATGCATTCACAGACTGAAATCTAGTCTAAATTCATGGTAATTTGAAGGCTGTATTGGCAAATCCAGGCATTGGTAAATCCTGAGAATAATAGCCTCAATATAATTTGTTTGAATCAGAAACAGAAATTTCATTCTGTTTGAAACAACTTTTCAAATTATTTATCTGCAAAAAATTCTTAAGACTGTATTGGTCAACTATGGAGATAAAATCAGCCAAAAGCATATTTTTCTAACTGAGTAGAATAATTTCTGATTCAAACCAATTAAAGTCAATGTCAGACTTGTTCGAAAGATTCTAATAGTCTATGTACATACTATTGTGGTCTCCAAATGAGAGACATTTGCCTCTCGCATGGTCCAGTTTAAGACAGATTTTTAAAAAACCTGATACTTGCAAACCTACATTCCTTAAAGCATGATATTGTGATGACATGTAACCTGTAAACATGTAATCTGATATCTTGTAAACCTGGTTCCTGCATACATATACATAGTGGCTGGTTAAAACAGTGGTAACGTCCCTGCCTTAGAACCAGGAAAAAACCCAAATCCCGGTCAGGCCACCTCATCAGTAAGTGCCCACAGGCTAGACACATAATATATATCTGCCTACTTCATAGATTGTAAGCTTGTTTGAACAGTGTTATCTCATTTCTATAATTGTAAAGTCTCTGCTGAATATGTTGGCGCTATATAAATAATAATGTTCTAGTTGTATAATATATAACTTGAGATAATGTTAGACTGAATAAGTAGTTGTGGCTTAACCAAGCGGTTGTTTTTTTTGTACGTGATGTATTTGTATATTTAGGGCAAGGTAGTCCCTGCTCTGACATTTCATACAAAAGGGGAATATTAGAATCCTATCTATACCACCTTCTCTCTCGCTCTTTCCTGGAAAGAGCCCAAGCCACAGCTCAGCAAGATCACCATCACAAAACTGTTAAATAGGCTGTGCATAAGCTGATAGCAGTTGTAGTGTGGCTGTTATTAGCTTCTTGACCAGTTCCACCTATCCTATGTGATGAGTACAACTATTCCTGGGGATAAATTACTTACCCCATAAATCCTTCAGGTGTATATAAGATAAGAGAACCCAAAAGCCCAGAATGAGATGGTCTTCCAACTTCAGAACTTACCTGTGCTACAGTTTTAGATTTTCTTTAAAAAAAGTGTAAATTTTTTATTGTTTTATAAATATAAAGCATTTAAAGAATATTGTTGGCTCTCAGACCACTTCATCTCAATCAAGTGATCTTTGTGCAATGGCCCTGTCGTTTTGGCCCTGTAATGTAAAATATACCTCTAAATATGGGTTTTAATTTGATTTTGTGCACAAAGACGTTGATCGTCCTGTGATACTTTTCATAGAGAAGCATTTGGATTCAATGGAGGAGGACTGCACAACATTTCTCTATCAGAATCATTGGATTGGATGAAAAGCCAAAGAGAAGACAACCCAACAGGAAGGTGGCACGGGAGACAGAATGGGCAGCTAATTTAGGGGAACCTAGTTATCTAAACAATACGTAGAACACTAGTGTTGGGATACATGTTTGTATTCCTACATCTATAGTGTCCCTTTAAAATGGGGGGTTGGCGGTGAGGTCACTTCTGGCTTTTGTGTCCCTTTAATTTGACAATGTTAAGAATGTTTTCAAATCTGTTTTTTTTGCCTATATAGCTGTAAATTTTGTTTCAAATTGTTGAATAAAAGTCAACACAAGCAATAAGATCGTAGTTTTCAATTACTGTGGAGTTGGCATGTTTTATTTATGCTTGAAGTGTGTCAATATCTTAGCAGCTAATTAATACAGTCTTCTTTTAGCTATAGTCATAAGTATACATTTCAGATAGACATTCGAGTCCCCTGACAGCAATGATATCCCATGGAATCTTATTTCAATGATCCTGTGGTAAAACAGTAGAGGTTTCTTTTAGCATATGCCAGCAATGACAAGTATGTTTTAAACACCCTGTTAACCTCAAAACCTTTGCATATCTGAGCAGCAGATAAATGCAAGGTCATACACTGTTCAACACGGTTGCATAAACAACTAATTTACAGTATAGCATCCACAACAAAATATTGATTAAAAGCTGTTTTGTACAGTGCTCACTATACTATTTACATTGGTTATACCTTATACAAACGAGGTATAAACATATCTGAATAATTTCTTCGATTAAAAAGTCAACAACAAAAATTGGGTAGCACCACATATGGATTCCAAATACACTTTATATATTGTCCTTTCACATTACTCTTCCTGTGATGTTTGTATGTCTTGATTTATTGTGGACGATTATGATACATGTATATGCCAATATTAGCATTATCCTGCCAATGCTACCTTTAACTATAGAACAAAGGGATATTATGTATATAAGAAAAAATAATTCTAAATACTATTAGGGTTAATGTTATTCACAGGAAGTACCTCGGTAGAACTGGTTTTGCTCTAGTGTGACAGCAGCACTTGTTACCTCTACCTTAAGGTGCTTAGAAAACAAGATGGCAGCCCCGAGAAGTCTCACACTACTGTTTTTAGTTTTGTTTTTTACATTACCCTGTGTGGTAAAAGCAATCATGTTTTTTTTTTGCATAGACTCAATGTAAAGGGTTCAGAAAAGCTGTATTTGTCAGTAAAACAACTGCACAGCATTCGGTAACTATATTATCTAAACAGACTATAAATTTCAATCACCATCACAGAAGTCCATTGATGGCATTTAAGAGACTGCAGTTTCATTAAAGTGTCATTTACAATGAGGAATATCATTTCAGCATAGTTTGCACTGCTGCTGCTGTACTGTCCAGGGGCAAGTTAGTAGGGTTCATCGGTTGTCCCTCACACTTTGCGATACCCAATGGGCATCTCTGATCAGGGATGCATCTTCCTCTCTGTGTCCTCCCAGCTCTCAGAGCAAAGCTCTCTCTGATAAGTCGGAGGTGATGCATTTGAATGCCAACTCTACCTACAACTCTGCAAGGATGGGCAAATTGCAGATCGCCAGCTGACAAAGCATTGTTTGAGTTGTACAACAGTAAAGGATCTACCTTCTAGCCACATTTGCACTAGAGGGGGGTCTCCAAAAAATGTCTTGCACAAGGGTCCTCTATAAATAAGTTCAGCCACCACCATCAGTGGTACGAACCCCACTGAAGGGTAACCTACACAGCACTCATGGACATAGCAGCCAGAGCAAGGAAGAAAAAATAATAATTAAAGAAAGACAAGTGGCAAGGAAGATACAATGGATTAGAAACATAGAAACATAGCATGTGAGGCAGTGGCGTACACATGACCCATGAGGCCCCGGTGCGAAAATTGATCCGTGGGCCCCCCCCACACTTACTCTGCGCGGGCTGGGGCCGCAACACATGGCGACCGCGGTATGTATGCCAGTGCATACAGATGCACACACACTTAAAGGACCACTACAGACACCCAGATCACATCAACTCAATGAAGTGGTCTGGTTGTCAGGTCCCTCTAGTTTAAATCCTGCAGCTGAAAACATAGCAGTTTCAGAGAAACTGCTATGTTTCACTGAGGGTTAATCCAGCCTCTAGTGGCTGTCTCACTGACAGCCGCTAGAGGAGCTTCCGCGATTCTAAGACACTGAACGTCCTTAGGAAAGCATTCAGTAATGCTTTCCTATGGGCGGTTTGAATGCGCGCGCGGCTCTTGCCGCGCATGCGCATTCGGAGCTGAGAGGCGGAGGGATCCCCAGCGCCAAGGGAGTCCGGCGCTGGAGAAAGGTAAGTGCTGAAGACACACACACTCTCATGAACAGACGCATACACACTAGCTAACAGACACACACATTTACTGACAGAGACACACTCAGCGACAGACATACATACACACTCACAAAACATACACTCTCATTGACAAACACACACTTACT